GTGAATAAACTAAGACTTAGATAATTTTCTCAAGGTTGAGTTAGTGATGGAACTAGAATTTGACTGATATTGGTCCAAACCTTTATGTTATTCTGTCTTTAGAATACTTTGGCTTCTAAAAAACATACACAAAAATTGAACAAATAGTAAGATGAGTATCTATATTTAACTGTGAAAATTGTAGACATCAAATTTCACCTCTCAAGATTTCAAAATGTATCTTCTAAAGTCAAGAACATTCCATAATATAATCACAATATATCATCATACCCCCAAATTCAACATTGATACAATAATTTTATCTATTATAGCCAGAACTCAAATTTAACCACTTGTTCCCAAAATATATTGTATAAGTTATTTTTTCATGCTGGAGCCAATTAAGAACTACGTATTTCATTTGGTCTTTAGTTTTCTTTAATCTAACAAGATCTCTTACCATTTTTTGTCTTTTGATATTGACATTTTTATGAAGAGTCTAGGCCAGTTATGTAGAAATTACCCACAATCTGGATGTCTGACTTTAAACATTTTGATAAGAATCTTACACAGGCTAATAGTTCTAAAACATCTGGTTTCATGTACCCTTTATATGTTTAAAAATTATTGGGATCCTAATGAGTTGTTATTTGGATTACTATAGATCAATATTTATCATATGAGAGATAAAAACAAAATTTTTGAAATCTTTTATTAACTCATTTAAGACAAGCAAACTTATTAGATGGTGACATGTTTTACATGTTTATAGGTCATTTAATGTCTGCCGTAACAGAATGCAGCTGGTTCTCATACCTTCGTCTACATTCATCTTTTGCAATATTTTGTTTTGGTTGAAGCATATGAAGAAAATGTGTCACACAGATGTCTGTTTGGAAAATGGAGGAGTGCTTTAATTGTCTTTTCAGGTTTGACAAGTGGAGGTCATTTCATTAGTGGAGGATTGCAAAAGGATGATTTTCTGCTGTTATTCTTTCTAATTTTATTGGCTATAAATCTTCTTTTAATAGTTCTTTCTCCCTTCCAAAAGTAATTTAGTAATCTTAAAATATATTTTTTGCTGGAAGGCTTATTAGATGTTTAATTATCTCCCTTTATTTATCAGTTTTTGAAGTAATGAGTTTGTGCCTTAGCAGCCTTCAGTAGTTTCTAGTGAATTCATTTTGTTTCTTTCTTTCCTTTTTTTCTTTTCTTACATATTATATGTACTCATGGCTTTTTATATACTCAATGCATTTTAATCATTTAAACTAAATTATTTTTAATGTTCAAATGGTCTTATCTTCGGTCAGTGTGTCTCAGACAATTTTATTAGCTCTCAATAACTCCAAATTATATCACAACAAAGTAACCCAAGCTCAACTTGTCCATTTCCAGTGCCAGCCATGTCCCCAAGAAACCCTGTGTTATGCAAAGTGCTGAAAACCTCGTGATCAGGACTTAGGTGCCAGCTGGTGGTGGCCGACCAGGACCAGTGAAGTTTAATGCCGCACTGGCTGCTCTCAATGAGGTTGTCTGGCTAAGTCTCATCTGGCCTGCGGATGGGCGACATTAGGGCCGCTGGCCAGCGCTATTGTTTTGCCGCCAGCCAGACTTTCCCAAGACAAGGTTTTATAGAATACAGAAAACAGTAAAACAGGGCCAGCGGGGGTGGGGAGGTGGGGGGGAGGCAGACCGCCCATGAGCAAGCTGTGTTCTATCAAAACACTGGCCATGTACAACCCAGGTTCACCTCCAGAAGCAGCTCCTCTTTGACCTTTCTTAGGCCCCGTTGCTGCCGCCGTCTCCCAGTCTGCTTACAGGTGGCCTTCACTCTGTTTCCACAGGGTGAAGGGGGAGTTGGGTGTGGGAAGGGGCTCATGTTTCCAGTTACCATACACTCTGCTCCTTTTAGATGAAAATATTAGACATGACAGTCCGGATGCAGCATTGATTGCTGCTATGGTACTCTTTACTTCTGGGCATTTTCAGTAGACAGTATCAGCAATGATAATAGCATTTCAAGAAGATAAAAGGGATTATTTAAAAGAAAAAAATAGTGTTGGGATATATCTGACAAACAATAAATACTTGTTGAATGAATGGGATTTTGTGAAACTATACATTCACTTAACAAATATTAAAAAAAGATATTATGTACCCTGTACAGATAGGTTAGAAGGAAACATGAAAATGAAAATGATGACATGCTAATGAGATTGTAGATAATTTTCTGTTTTGAATTTCCTTAATTGGCTGCAAAATGTTTCTAATAGAATTTATTAAATAAAAAATGTAGATAATTGCTGTATTCTTTTTTTTTGTATACACTGAGTTTGAGCTACCTGCAGAGTGATGGTCAGAGCTCAGGATGAGACTTTAGAGCCATGAGAAGATGGTGAAACTACGCACATAGTGTACAGAGTGAAACACACCATGTAAAGGAGAGGCAAAGGAAGAGGGATTGGCAAAGGGAACTAGGAAGGGACTATTGGAAAGACAGATGAAGATTCATAAGAGTCCTGCCCTCTCCTTCCCGCCCCCCAAAAAGGAAGGGGGCAGGTGGAGAGAGAAACTGCCAGTGGCAAGTTATTTATATGGAATGTCAAGAAAAAAATCCATAGTATCTAGAAATGAAGAAACCTTTGATGATGTTAAGCCACGTTATAAGGACAGTGAAGCGTGGCCACTTTATAAACCAAATAACAGTATGCTGAGGAGTAAAGAAGTTGGCTAATTAGAAAGTCAAATGAAGAGGACTTTTTCAACACCTTAGATGACAAAAAGAGGGATGGAGTCAGGGAGAATTTAGAACAAGACAGAACTCCTTTCTCTGTCTCTCACTGTTTCTCTGTCTCTCTCTCGACGATGGAATTTTTGGAATGAAAAACTTGAGGATATCACTGGACAGGGGAGACTAAATAATTTAGAAGAGAAAGGGGGAAATGGGTGGCGAAGATTTGAAAGCAGGCAGGAAGGAATGGTTTCAAGTACAGAGACTGGGAGTCCTGGTAAAGGGGCACTCTTTCTCCGAGGCATTGGAGAAGGGGTACTGTTATAAATCATTTAAGAAGCAGGAAGGAGACAGGTCTGCAGCATTCCAGCTGTCAGGATTTCACGCTCTTTGTCTGGGTGTTTGTGGCCTAGGAGCAGAGAATAGGACAGCATGCTTTCAAACAACAATTACACCATGAGCACTGTTTAAGTTTATCCTTTATATATTATGGAAAATCTTGTTTCCTATTTTCTGTTCTTTCCTCTGGTGAGAAACATGTTTAGATGAATGATTTATAGATAGATAGATAGATAGATAGATAGATAGATAGATAGATAGATAAAAGAAGGAAAGAAAGAAGGAAGGAGGGAGGGAGGGAGGGAGGGAGGGGGAGGGAGGGAGGGAGTGAGGAAAGAAGGAAGGAAGGAAGGAAGGAAGGAAGGAAGGAAGGAAGGAAGGAAGGAAGGAAGGAAGGAAGGAAGGGAGAGAGAGCCAGAGGGAGGGAGGGAGGAAAGAAGGAAGGGGAGAAAGAATTCTTGTTCTTAACATGATACAAGCCATCTTATAAAGCAAGCCGATTGCCAGTTCACCCTGGAAGGGGTGGGCCTGTATCACCTAAAGGGATGATTCTTACATTGGTAAGTGAGGCTATTAAGTTCTTTACTGCTTTAGTTATTCAGCACTCACGTAATACGTGGCTCAAACCACCTGTGTTAGCGCATGCCACTTGGCTCTTTAATAACAAGCCCCCTGGGCTTTTCAGTGAGGAGATGTACCATCTTGCTGTTACCCAAAACTGCTTCTGTCTGTCCGTTCTCTTAAAAATTTGTAATTCTGGAGTTGTCAGCCTCTTTAGTCTCTCTCTCTCAGCACAGCTCAGGATTCCTAATAAAGAGAATAAAATAGTATTATGTAGTATGTGAACATAATTTTGTGGAAGAATATCTTTTTAAGAAAAGACCACTTATTCTTTGTCAAAAACGCCCATATTAAATTTTTCACATTGAAGAAGTCTAAATAAGCTGATGATGTTGAAATACTCATGTCTGTTTTATAGGAATTTGTCGGAAAATAGGAGTGCCAAAGAAGTAAATTTTCCACTTAGTTAATATTTAAATGTCTAAGCTAACAAGTTGTTTTTTTTTTCATTTTTGTTCAATCTAAATTAGATTGTTCCATGCCTCATTAAACAAAACACACGTTTTTTATTTATAAAATCATCCTTGTTGGATATTACATTCATATTGTGGACCTTTTGGAGGTTAAAATAGTTTCCTCGACATAAAATGATCCCAGGGTCACCTATCTATCTATCTATCTATCTATATATATTTTTTTTGTAATTTGTTTTGTCCTCTCCTTCATTGAGGATTTCTTATTGTTTTAAATTGTTCTCCCTTTATCATTATTTCTATTCATCTTGTTTTCTAAATTTTGGCCAAAATAAACCAGGTGACCAAGTCATTACAATTAGTGACATTCTTTACACACTATTCATAATCATTAGACCCTTTAAAAGTGAGCTAACTCCAGGATTTTTTAGTAGAATTAAAAATAGGTTTATACAAAGTTAGTTTAAAGACTTATTTCATTTTTCTGTCTGAATCTGTTTCCTTGAATGTTTAGATTTTAGAGAAAATATTAATAAAAGGGAGGAGGAGAGTTCACTAGAGTTTGACTGTTTTATATAACTAATGCTTCTCAGCAACTTGAAATGCCAGAAAGGTCTAAGGGCATTCTGTTGATGGCACCATTAAAAAGATACACACATCTTGAACAAAAGGTTTTTAAAGAGCCATGGAATGTATTTCTAAGCTGTGTTCACCTCCGTGAGGCTCCTGAAGGCACAGGTAAAGTCCTGAGCAGGCATGGAGCATTACCCATGTTCAGCAATGCTAAGCAAGAGGCTGGCCGAGACAGCCATGCACTTGCTGATGTGTACTTGTCTTCCTTTTCATTTGTCATTGCAGAAAGTTCCCATTGCTCTTTGGACATTGAAAATAACTTTTACCTTTTTCTATTTTAGGACAGCATAATTACTTGTGTGCTGGAAGGAATGACTGCATCGTTGATAAAATCCGCAGGAAAAACTGCCCAGCATGTCGCCTTAGGAAGTGCTGTCAGGCCGGCATGGTCCTTGGAGGTAATGTTGATGTTTTCATCAGCAGTATACTGATATTTACCCTGTACAACTGCGGGTCAGAAAATTCAAATTTTCTCATTCACCTTTGTTCTTTCTTTGCTTTTTCTATCTTGATTATTGTTGTCTGAATGAAGCAACCAATGCTATCTCATTATCTGTATAGATTCCTCCCAGCATATAAGGTCTGTTATGAGAGGTAATAAATCTCCATTTTTCTATATTGCTTATAATGATATGTTATGGCCCGGCTGGTGTGGCCCAGAGGTTGGGCATTAAGCCAGGAACCACTGGTTAGATTCCTGGTCAGGGCATGTGCCCAGGTTGAGGGCTTGATCCCCTGTGGGAGGGCATGCGGGAAGCAGCGGATAGAAGATGTTCCTCTCATTATGGATGATTCTATGTCTCTATCCCTCTCCCTTCCACTCTCTGGAAAAAAATCAATAAAAAATCAATAACTATATATATATATATATTATGAATGTTCACCAACTTTTCATTAAGTGACATGTGTTGAGTCCTGAAACTGCATTTATTGCCTGCATGACCTTGAATAAGCCACCAACTTGTTCTGGGCATCAGCCTCCTTGTCTATAAAATGAGAGCACTAAAGACCCTTCCAGACCAAAAGCTGATTCTGTGAATCCAGAACATTAATCTCCATCCCTCTCACTCTCCATCAACCCCTGCCCATTCTCTTTATATAACTGTATGTTGAGCCCTTATACTTACCAAGTACTGTTTCAAGTTCTGGAGTATAGCACAAAACCAAATGGACCTTGTGACCCACAGGTTGAGAACTGCTGCTGTAGAGCCTAAGACCATCGGAAAACACAGATATTTACATTACGATTCATTAACAGTAGCAAAATTATAGCTATGAAGTAGCAACAAAAATAATTTTAAGGTTGGGAGTCACCACAACATGAGGAACTGTGTTAAAGGGTCCTGGCATTAGGAAGGTTGAGAACCATTGCTCTAAGCCCTTCTCCCACCAATCCTTTGGGAACTCCACTGAACGTTCACTGTCCTTGCATGTGTGTTACTTTTGCCTGCACCATTCTCCCTCCACTCCTTATCAACTCTTACTTAGCATGGTGTGTGTGTGTGTGTGTGTGTGTGTGTGTGTGTGTGTGTGTATGAGAGAGAGAGCGAGAGCGAGAGCGAGAGCGAGAGAGAGAGAGAGAAAAGAGAGAGAGAGAGAGAGAGGGGAGGGGGAGGGGAGGAGAGGGAAGAAAAAGCACTGGTAGGGGAGGGCAGGGGAGGGGAGAAAAAGAATCTTCCCATCTCTCCAGTCACTGCAGGGGCAGGGGTTTTATTTGGGGAGGTTGAAAGCCCTTGAGCCAGCCTGGATTGGACTGCCCTGACTGGACTTACTTCAGCATCCCGCCTCTTAAAATGGAATATTGACCAAATTGACTGAGTGGAAGTGATGAGAACCAGCTGTGCTACCCAATCCCAGAATGAGGCACTGGGAATTCATGCCTATTCCCATCCATTCATATTCTCTCTCTCTCTCTCCCCCCCCCTCCCCCCCCCCCCCTCTCTCTCTCTCTCTCTCTCTCTCTCCCCCCCCCTCCCCCCCCCCCCCCTCTCTCTCTCTCTCTCAGCTGTTTGAACAGTACCATCAAACAGCTGAAGCTCCTCAGGCTGCCTAGGCCCCTGTGGCTTCCAAAGCCAGCGGGAGACAGGAGAGCTACAGGAGGTGGGCAGGTGCCATCCACCCTTGAATCTTGTTTTGTCCTGCTCCATCCTCTCCACCAGGGTCCCTGCTGGCAGTGTATTCAGGATGGAGCTCAGCCAAATCAGCACTGTGGCTTTCTGCGCATTCTTGAATATAAAATCCATCAGTTATCATTTCCAGGACACAGAGAGAGTATTTGGAGAAGGAAAGGGGACGTGGTCAGAAATAGTGATTTCCACTTTGAGGAAGGGTGCCCACTCTTGAGGTAGCTTCCATTTGTTCTAATCATCCTACTATTATAATGGAAAAGTGATTAAAAATGAGCAAAATAACATGATGAAACACATGACCACGGATAAACTGGGGTTCATTTAGAAGGGAGACTCCATTCCAGTCAGAAACAAGACAAACCACAAGAAATAGAGTTATAAGAAGAAGAGAGCCTCAGAGAAAACTTAGAACTGGGATGAAAGGAACCAAAGTAACATCAGAGCAGAATCACCAGCAAGACTTCGTTAGTGCAAAGCTGTGTTCGTTGACTCCAGTTTTCTTCCTCATAAGGGCAGAACGGCTTCCATTGTAGGGCTGAGTTTAACTCAGAGCTCAACAGCCCCGTCCTCAGAGATCAGAGTGGGAAGTAGTCAGAAGTACTGGTATGAGCAGTTGGTTATCTCTGTCCAGTCATACTGTCCTTAGTTTTGTTGTTTTCCCATCACTTTCCCAAGGTCCCGTGTTGCCATCCTGAAGCCCAGTTCTGAAATCTCATGACTATTTCCCCCTTTGCATAATTCACTTCAGTCAATGAACCATCTTTTATGGGTTAGACCATAAAATTATTTGTCCCAACCAGGACACTGCTGAGGATGAGATGGAACCCTATCAATAATTAAAATTAGTATAACAGATGCAAACCCAGACCATTAAAAGATGCAAATATGTTCCGGCCAAAATGAATACCTAAATTTCTGGGGGTGTAGCTGAAATGGTCAAATGTCTATTTATACAGTATTTAACATATTAACATGTTATTTTCATTAGATACAAGTATAAAGATCTCTTGATTTAGAAGTCTTGTGTTTCTACTTTCACATTTCATTCAAACTAATTTTACAATCTGTTGGCAGCAGGGTCCTTGCTTCAGCAGAGCTGCTAATCATTCTTTAGAGCTCATAATTTTGTCTAAGATGTTCAATATGTAGCACTTTTTGAGTTAATATAAATCTCAATAAGCCAAAAATATCCATTCACATAATGTAAAAGTTTTATTATTTGCCCTATAATAGGTACTATTTTTGATTCCCCATAATATAACAATTTTCTGCATTATTAATTAGAAAATATATTAAGCCCACTACAAATATTTTTTAAAATAAACACTGATGTCTCTGTCACTCAATTTTTAACATCAGATTATGTTTTATATTTTTTAAATTTGTTATTATATTTTATAAAGAATAAGATATTACAGATATTTTGAAGCTCCTGATATGTTCTTTTCTGAACCCATTAGATTCATTTTTTCCTCACAAGTCACTTTACTAAATTATTTTTGATATCTTCATACTTGTAATTCATATGTATGAATCTTTAGGTAATATGGTGTTATTTTTAACTAGAGGCTCGATGCATGAATTTTGTGCAAGGGGCTTGGCCCTCATAGTCCCCGCTTCCTCTGGACCAGGCGTCCTCAAACTTTTTAAAGTGGGGGCCAGATCACGGTCCCTCAGAGAGCTGGAGGGCCGGACTATATGAACTACTAATTCCTACTGTAACACCTCGGCTGCGCTCACTGCCCAAAAAACCTGGCGGGCTGGATCAGACTCCTCTGCAGGCCGCATGTGGCCCGCGGGCCATAGTTTGAAGACACCTGCTCTGGGTGGTCTTTCTGTTGTTCAGTCTAATTAGCATATTAGTTCTTAATCATATAGGATAGTTATATAAATGGTATTGTTTTATACCTTTTCAATTTGCTTTTCTCACACATTGTGTTTTGGTTTTGTTCGCATATGTTTACATACTAGAAGCTCGGTACACAAAATTCGTGCGTGGTGGGGGGGGTGTCCCCTAGCCCAGCCTGCACCCTTTCCAATCTGGGATCCCTTGAGGGATGTCTGACTGCCCGTTTAGGCCCGATCCTGGTGCAGGACTGCTGGCTCCCAATTGTTTGTCTGCCTCTGCCTGATTGCCCCTAACCGCTTCTGCCTGCCAGCCTGATCACCTTTTAACCACTCCCCTGCCAGTCTGATCCATGCCTAACTGCTCCATGGCTGGTCTGGTCACCCCTAACTGCCTTTCCCTGCCAGTCTGGTTGCCCCTGACTGTCCTCTCTCCTGCATTCCTGGTTCCCCCCAACTGCCCTCCCCTGCAGTCCTGATTCCCCCAGCTGTCCTCCCCTGCTGACCTGGTCTTCCTCCAACTGCCCTCCTCTGCCAGCTCAGTCACCCCTACCTGCCCTTCCTGCTTGCCTGATTGTCTCCAACTGCCCTCCCTTGCTGGTCTGGTCTCCTCCAACTGCCCTTCCCTGAAGGCCATCTTGTGGTGGCCATCTTGTGTCCACATGGGGGCAGCCATCTTGTGTCTTGGAGTGATGGTCAATTTGCATATTAGTCTTTTATTAGATAGGATAACTAGTGTTTCATTTTTAACTTCTGTGTGATAAATTTCATGAATATTCCACAGTGCTTTTCTTTCTTAATGGCTATTTTTAATTTTTCATAATTAAATAATGTGCTGCAAATCTTTGAGCATGTGCTTGAGAAGTTTTCAAGGTCGTGTATCTAAAAAGGGAATTTCTGGTCTATTAAGATATTATGTATTTTCAACCTCACTAAATGTTTCCCAACCAACAAGTCACTCTCCAAAGTGTGTGTTTCCTCCACTGTATGGATTTTTTGTTACCATGCATCCTCACCTGTGCTTGGTATTTTCACACTTTTAACTCTTTCTAATTTAACGGTCATAAATTTGGTATCTAATTATAGTTTAATTTGTATGTCCTTGATGAGTGAGTGGTGAGGGCAAACATTGCTTCATTTATTTATTGGCCATTTATATTTCTTCTTCTATTAATTATTTGTTTGTTTGTTTATTTATTTATTTATTCATTAGCTATTTTCAACTGGATTGTCCTTTTTCTTGTGATTCATACAACTTACTATATACTCCATACTGATTCTTTGTCAGTTACAGATAGTCTCTGTCTTCACTTTTTACCTTGCTTATGATGTCTTTTTCTAATTTTCATATAATCACACATGTCAATAGTATCCCTTTATATCCTTTTCTACCCTGATGTCATACAGATAATCTATAAAAAATC